TCCTCCTAAGTTATTTTTCTTTTTGGCTCTTAATCACTACTGTAAATTTAGCTTGCTTCCTCTGCTAAAAAGTGAGCTCCAAAATTTCAGAGGAGAGGCGCTCTCTTTTGTTCATAGCTGTAACCTCAGCCCTAAGAACAGTGCCTTGCGCATAATGGGAACTCAGATGTCAGTGAATAAGGAAGGGAGGAGTGTCTGGGTCCTGACCCCATGGGATACTTGTAAGACAGTGATTGTTTCTGTTTCTTGCAGGTCCGTGGAGCCCGAGCTGTTCTGCAGCTATACCCTGAGAACTCGGAGCAGGTGAGCCTCTTGGCTACTAGAGGTGCAGGGAGGTGGGAGGGGCCCAGAACAGGTAAACTGTTCCTATCCTGCTCCTCACTCACCTGCCCTCCTACCGTTGGGAAGTGACAGAATAGGATCCTTATGCTGGTTGGTGGGAAAAGGAGAGAATGAGTATCTGAGAGTGGTTCCTGTGGCTCCTGATGACATGTTTTATGATCTGATATCCCAAGGAGGAGTGGTGGGTGTGGAGTAGGGTTAATGTGATATATTAACTGATTTCCATAACCAAATATATAAATAGGGGTGGGGGACTGAGAGAACATCAGCAGTTGTCTGTTCTAAGGAGTGTAATGCAATATGAAGGAGGAATGAGGAGGTTGGAGTTACCGACCTTGAAAGACAAGTTGTGCCCTGGCCGGTTTGGCTCAGTGGATGGAACGTCGGCCTGCGGACTCAAGGGTCTCGGGTTTGATTCCGGTCAAGGGCATGTACCTTGGCTGTGGGCACATCCCCAGTGGGGGGTGTTCAGGAGGCAGCTGATCGATGCTTCTCTCTCATCGATGTCTCTGACTCTCTATCCCTCTCCCTTCCTCTCTGTAAGAAATCAATAAAATATATTTAAAAAGAAAGAAAGACAAGTTGTGAGCTGTCCCTGACTAATACCATGAATGAGTCTGCCCCCAGTATTGGCCATTCATTTCCTGAGATTTGAGTGGGTAGATGGTTCCCTGGGCTACAAAGTGAGACTTGCTTGTTCTGTAATTCCATTGAGGGGGCTGTATGCCATGGCTGGTTCTAGCCTGCACTTTCCTCTGTGTGCCTTTTGGGGACTCCGAATTGGGAACAGTCTAATAAAGAAGACCTTTAGTTCTCCCAGGCACTGTCCGTCCTGGAACCAGACTGGCTTAAGAGGAGTGAAAGAAAGCAGTGTGCCCCCCCAGCTTCTCTCTGATTCACCAATGTTCTCTCCGCAGCTGGAGCTAATTACGACCCAGGCCATCAGGGCTGGTTTCACTGGTGGTGTGGTGGTGGACTACCCCAACAGCGCCAAAGCAAAGAAGTGAGTGCTGCGGGCCATGTGCTGCTGGTGCTGCTGGGTAGAGGCTGGTGGTGTGGACCAGAGTAGTAGTGCAGGAGGCACTGCTGGAAGGGAAGGTGAGGACTTGACTTACACTGCAAGGCTTTATGAGTCCTTGAACTTTTCTTGTTTTAGGTTCTACCTCTGTTTGTTTTCTGGGCCATCAACCTTTCTGCCAAAGGTGAGGGACCCTGAGTTTTTGGGTGTGTGTCTTTTGGGTTCCCTTCTTGTGAGGCTGGGCCTAGTACCTGTGGAAAGGGCTTAGGCTTGGTGGGTGCCCAGGCCTTTCAGGGTAGGGCAGATGGGTTTAGAGATCTCCAGAATCTCTAAAAGCACTTTGGTTCCTACAGGGCCTAAATGAAATTAAGGAAGAAGAGGAGGCAAAGGAATCCACATTCACGAGCAAGAGGTAAAGCGAACTGTAGGTGAACCTGCCTAAGGTTCAGGAAGTTACTGCCGCTAGGTTTCTTAGACATGGCAGAGGAAGCTGGAGGTGGCAAGACCACTCCATTTTTCTCTGCTTTCACCAAGTTCCGGGCTCAGATGTGACAGTGACACCAAGGTGGTAATAGAACCAGGAACCCCTTGTTCCAGTGCCTGCTACTGTCTAAGGCTGGGATGTCTGTAAGCAGCTTTGCAGCCTTACTCTCTGCCTTTCCTCTTGCCATGCCTGACAGGCTGTCCCCTCCTTCCCTAGGCTGCCTCCGCCACCTCTGTCCTGGCCCCCATCCCCTCTTGGCCCCTGTGACTATCCTTTCTCTGCATCCTCATCCTTACTCTCCTGGGCTATTTGCATCAGTTCACAAACATGCTACACAATTTCTCATGTCTTCTAAGAGATTATCCCTTTACTTCTTAACAACTCCAAGCTGCCACCCTGTTTGTTTGCTTCCCTTTATATCACAAAACTCCTCATATCTGCCTCTTGCTTTCTCCCCTACCATTCTCTCAGTCCTCTTCTCTGGCTTACGCTTCTGTCTCATCACAAATTGCTCTTGTCAAGGCCACCACCAACCTGTCTTGCCAAATGTATGGTCACTTCTGTTTTTCCCCCGACTTTATCCTTATTTTTTTTTTTTCATTAATCCTCAACCCAAGGATATTTTCCATTGATTTTTAGAGAGAGTGGAAAGGAGAAGGGGGGTGGAGGGGAGGGGGAGAAAGAGAGAGAGAAACAGAAACATTGATGTGAGTCACATTGATTGGTTGCCTCTCCCACATAAGCCCTGCCCAGAGCTGGGGATAGAACATGCATCCCAGGTATGCGCCCTTGACTGGAAATTGAACCCTTAACACTTTGGTGTGTGGGCTGACACTAACCACTGAGAACACTGGCCAGGCCTTTATCCTATCTTAACTTGCCTGCTCAATAGGACCTGACTCAGCCCATTACTGTCTTAACACTTTCCTTACTTGGCCTCCCACTCACTATCATGGTTTTCTCTTAACCTTACTGGTTGTTCCTTCTCAGTTTACTCTGCTGGCCCCTCTTCTAGAGCAGCGGTCGCCAATTGGTGGTCCAAAAGGTTGGCGACCGCTGTTCTAGAGCACTCGGGGGCCCAACCTGGACCCCTTCTCTCTCTGCACGGCCTTAAACACCAAGTACAGGTTTATAACTCCCAGATTTATATCCTTGGCTTCAATTCCACCTCTGATTGCCAGCCCGCCTTCTAAGTATCCATACCTAAACTTCCCACCCTGTCCATACCTGAACTTCCCACAGATGTCTCGAACAAAACAGAGCTCTGGGTTTGCACCCCCAGACTTCCTTTGTCCATTCTTTACCATTCTCACTTATTCTTATCTTCCTTACCTCTCATAGCCAATCGTCCGTCTGCAAGTCCTGCACCCTTCTTCTCAATGTATATCCCAATTCCAGCCCTTTCCCCACTCCCACCTGGTCTTAGGTCACCACCAGTCTTGCCTGGATTACTGAAAGCAGCTCCATGTGTCTCTGCTTTTAGTATTTGTTTCTTTCCATTTACCTCTGCGCAGCAGCAAGACTGATTCTTTCCTTTTTCTTTGTTAAAAAAAAATCTTGCCATTTTTCTTTTCCTTATCTTTAGTTCAGTTCTCCTTACCTTTATTTTCCTTAACACCTTTTTTTTTTTTTTTTTTTTAGTATATTTTATTGATTTTTACAGAGAGGAAGGGAGAGGGACAGAGAGTTAGAAACATCGTTGAGAGAGAAACATCGATCGGCTGCCTCCTGCACACCCCACACTGGGGATGTGCCCGCAACCAAGGCACATGCCCCTGACTGGAATTGAACCTTGGACCCTTCAGTCCACAGGCTGATGCTCTATCCACTGAGCCAAACCAGTCAGGGCTTCCTTAACACCTTTAACTGCTCTAAATCTTGGCTATTTGTATCCCCAACTAGAATGAAAACTTGGTGGAGACTGGTATTATGTGCCTGCCATCAGAAGAGTATCTTGTTAAAGATGTTCAATATTTGTTGAACACATAATTACAAGATAGTGAAGGAGTTATTTCTTAGTTCTGGTTGATATGGGTGGAAGGTGTTAAGACTTTGAAGACATTTAAGAGGAAAAATGGGCAGAGAATTGAATGAGTTTAGAAGGCTCACCGGTAGTGAAAATCATGATTGTACTTTGTGTCCAACACAGATTTATGCTGTCTGATCGCTTGTCCCTCAGTAGTCATCTCTCTTAGCTTCCTTTCTCAGCCCATTCCCCATGGGGACTTAGCTCTTCTAGATGTTTTCTGCTCTAGGGCACCTACCACTTGCCCCCAGTGAGTGATCCCATTTCCTGCTTCACAGAGGAAGTACAAGCTGTTAACTCCTTCCATCCATCTTAGGATCCCTCTTGTCCTCACACCGGTGTTTATAGACTATATGTCCTAACTGTAAACTTGGGTAAGTTTTGTGACCTGAGCGTCCATTTTTCTATTTAAAAAGGGGGGGATATTGCCACCCTCTTGGGCAGTGTGTTGTGTAGAGAGCATGTTTGTTCAGGACTCAGCACAGTGCCTGGCACAGACACCTTGTCTCTCCTAGTTCTGCAGGCTCTCACTCTTCCCTTCAGAGTCCCCAGATTGCCTATTAGAAGTATTATTGGGATTCTCCCATTACTATCACTTCTCTCTAATCACATTCTGGCCACTTATAAATAGGTGAGTTTAAAAGTTTTTAAAATCTTTACTTAGCCCTGGCTGGTGTTGCTCAGTGGTCAGAGCATCGACCTGCTCACCAAAGGGTCGCAGGTTCTATTCTCAGTTAAGGGCATGTACCTTGGTTGCAGGCTCGATCCCCAGCCCTGGTTGGGTGCATGTGGGAGGCTGCCAATATGTGTGGCTCTCTCACATCAATGTTTCTTTTCCCCACACCCCCCACAACCCCACCCCCTTCCACTCTCTAAAAAATCAATGGAAAGAATATCCTTGGGTGAGGATTAACAAAACAAAAAAACTTTACCTAATTTATACATTTCTTTTGCATCAGTATTGTTCCACTCGTGCATTCCTTAATTCTTGCTATCTGGCCTCCACCCTACCAGGAAATGGTCACTTAAATGGCAAGCATCCTTGCTTGGTTTGGGTTATGCTGGAAACAGTGTAATCCCAACTGCCAGGTGGGGCAGTGGTTAGGGAGCCCAGGCTGTTCCGTTCTCAAGGCCTCTTTTCCCTGGGGCTGCAGGGGGTTTCCTTTCTCCTCAGCCAGGGCTGGAGGCCAAGATCAACCCTTGAGGGTTATTGTCAGGGCTGTCACGAGCTGGGCAGCCTTGTTTTCCTACTTCAGACATTTATTGCTGGGAGCCCCTATCTGATGGGGTATGCTGACCTCACCACCAGACTAGGGCCTTAAGGGGCAGCAGTGGACATTGGGCCTCTGACTTTCTATGGATATTGCTAGGCTCTTATGAACCAATCCTGGCCCAGGTTGCCCAAAAAGTAGCCTTGCCCCCTGCCTGCTCCCTAAGCAGGATGTGTGCAGACCCAGTAATTGGTCACCTACTGCAGATATGCCTGCAAGTGAGTGGGGCCTTGCACCTTCTGCCCTCCTATATAAATTGCTTTTGACCCCAGTGGATGGTACCAGGATGGAGGTGGTGGTGGAGGGGGGTGGTTCAAAGATGCAACTTTTATTGTAGAACTAGAAGCCTGGTGCACAAAAGTTTGTGCACTCAGGGGGGTCCCTCAGCCTGGCCTGTGCCCTCTTGCAGACCAGGAATTCTTGGGGGATGTCCAACTGATGGCTTAGGCCCGATCCCACGGGGAGCGGGCCTAACCCTCAGTTTGGCCTCCCTCTGTGGGAGGCGATTGGCAGGGCAGTCAGGGGAACGGCACCGGCCAGTGAACGGCCAGCACCCCCCAACCCCCATTGCCATCTCTTCCCTCTGCCTGCTAGCACCTGCCTTGGCTGGCCTGGCTCCGCCCACCCACTGACTGGTTGTTCTGCTGTTCAGTCAATTTGCATATTAGGCTTTTATTATATAGGATGGGCATCTAAGGCCCCTAACTCAAAGGAAGTTCACCATTTTTTCCTGCCTGGATTAACTTGGGTGCCAGTCAGGCTGTTCCATCCATCATTTCACAGCCGTGTCTCTGGCACAGGGTCCCATACAGGATTGCACGGAGCGGGGTGGTGAGGAAGATGAAGACCCGGGAGTGGGTGCTGGAGAAGAAAGAGCGCCGTAGACGCCAGGGCAAGTGAGTACCTGGGCCAGGGGTAGGCTGCTGCAGATAAAGGGAGGTCTTGACCGGTAAAGGCTCACCTACACTTGAAGGGGTCCCAAGAGTACTTTGTTCTTTCTTCTGAAACTCTTCTATTCTTCCTGCCCGTTATTTCTTCACAGGGAAGTCAGACCTGACACTCAGTACACCGGCCACAAGCGCAAGCCCTACTTCTAAGCTGTTAGCTGCATTGAATGGTGGGACAGCTTGGGGTCCACACAGTTATGAGCTGTGCCATCCAGCTCAGGCACTGCCTCTGGAAAGTTTTATATATTGAAGTATCTACTCCATCAGCTGACAAAAGAGTGTCTAGAAAAGTTCTAATAGCCCTAACCAACATTGCTCAGTGGTTAGAGCGGCCTGCACACCAAAAGGTCACGGGTTCGCTCCCCGCCCCTGGTTGGGGTGTGTGCAGGAGGCAGCCAATTGATGTGTCTCTCTCACATCGATGTTTCTCCCTCCCATTGTCTTTGAAGAAGCAATGGAAAAAATATCCTCAGGTGAGGATTAACAACAGCAAAAAAAATCTAATACTATTTTCTTCATTAAAGTTCTAACGGCATCTTATTTTGTTGTAAAAGTAATAAACCACTTTCTATGGAACTCTGGCATTTTCCAGCTCTATGGTCCTAAACAAATTTAAGTTCCTCGGTGGTGGTAGCTACCACTCGATTCCACGGGTCCAAATTAGAACTTAAGAGTGCTTTTATACACTTAAAGGAATAGGTAGGTTTCTTTAATTTAGGCAAACTTGGGAAGGACGGACAGGATGAAATGCATCCAAAGTACCTATTGGCCTGAGGGAGGAGGCTGGGGTCATTTGCCTCGAGCCCCTCCCCATATTGTCACACACATTCACCTTTAAGTCCTAAGGCCATGACACTGTAATAGTAAGAAATCTAGAGCAGAGGCACGGGACAGATACAAATGTTTATTCTACATAAAAATTTCACAAAACAGGCAGCTGGTTGTACCAAGACCTTTGGTGAAGGGGTAAAGGAGGGGAGGAAAGTCGGTAAAGAAGGCAACACGCGGACAGTGGTCACAGTCACTGGACAGGAGCAAAGCTGAGGAAAGGTGGGGCTCAGACATGGCCCCGTCCCCTATGCATGCACTCGCATGCACACTCCTTGCCTGTCAACAAGGAAGAGAGGGGTCTTGAAGTGAGGGCATGTTTCTGACTTGAGAAGCCCCGAGATGGTGGGGAGGTACCCCTCCTGGCTGGCTGCTGAATACTGCATCCAAGACACCTGACACTCATGTGGCACATCAGTGGGGAACAGCAAGGGCAGGACATGACTGCAGGCCTGAAGTAACATCTGACTTCCCAGAGCACAAGAGTGGGGACTACTGTCCCAAACATGCAACACACAATGGCTTGAGGACCTGGCTAAGGCCTGCTGGGGAGAATGGCTGGCCCAGGCAGTGGGCTTGGCCTGACAGGTCTGCTCTGTCTCCCTGGCTCTAAGGGTGGCTAGAGACCAGGCACCAGCCAGCCTCTTCCAGAATGTTATCTGGGGTCAGGCATAGCCCAGGGGGTGGGGGTGTTGCTCCTGGGGCTCTAGGAATGTGGGGAGGTTGAGGCAGCCGAAGACCTGTTGGACTCTGCCCCTAGATAGGGGAGAGAGTCTGGCCTTGACACAGCCAGAAGCTACCTGGCCACAGCACCCTGAGCCTCCCTGGCAGTGACTGGCTGTTAGAGGCTTAGAGCTGGGCTGTCTCTCAGGGCCATTCCTCCCCTAACCTGAAAAGCAGCACCATGTGGCCAGCTGATCCCCACCCCTCAGGGGGCTGGGCTTAGGGGGGACAGCTGGAGAGGACAGGATAGATGGTGGGGTCAGCAGGAGGCAAGGGTGGGGTACAGAGAGCCTTGATGCATGGAGAGGGCAGACCCCAGGTCAAGAGTGGAATTACTGAAGGCAGAGGAGGGGAAACATGGCTACCTGGGCAGCTCTGCCTGGTAAGGGTGAAGCAGCCGGGCCAGGGCCTGAGTCTGTCCCTTGCTGACCTGATCCCCGCCCCGCTGGTTGTTTCCTAGCCTGGCTCCCCTCGGCCTCTTGTACAGATACACACTGTCACAAAGATCATGCACATGACGGCTCAGGGCAGGGTGGGTGTGGAGGGGGCTCCGAGCCACAGGGAGTCAGCAGCCAAGGAGCTTCCTTAGTTGGACCATCCAGAGTGGAGAGGCAGGTGGGGTAGTTTCTATCCAAAGATCCCTCCAAAGATAGAGGCAATGACAATGCCCAGGACCACACAGCAGATGATGATCATGATCTTCTTCTGCACCAGAGAAGCAGGAAGAAAAGGCCTCAGAGCATGGGAGAGGCTGGAGGTGGGCAGAGCTTTTAGGGGCTCGGGGCTACTGGGAGAGAGGACGGAGGGTTGGAGAGTCTGGGGGGTAATGGGGGGAAGGTGATGACCTGGAATGGGCCTGAGGATGGTTAAAGTGAGGCACTGAAACCTGGGAGAGGTGGGTGAGGTTACAGTAAGAGCTGAGAGGTGGGACAGGCAGAGTGAGGAGGGGTCTGTGATCACTAATGGACGTGCGGGAAATGTTGGGTAGAGTTGGGGCTACTGACCCGGCGCGCCTTGCTCTGGTACTTGACAGCCTTTTTGGTGTCAGACACAGCCCTCTCCACGTAGTCCACCGACTGCTCCACGTTGTACTCAATCCTGTCAATCATCTCCCCCTGCAGGGCCAGGGGCACCCAAGCTCCAGAGAGCCGCCCTCAGGGTCAGAAGGGGGCTTGAGGCAGGACTTTAGGAAAGTGCCCTGAGATTAGAGAGAGAAAAGGAGTTTGAGGAGGATGGGGTACAGCTTCTCACCTGTGTCCCGCAGGCCAGACACCCTGGTAGCTCTGGCCTCTCCCTGCAGAGCAGCCATCCTGGGGAGGGAACTGGCCATGCAGTCTCAGCCAAGGGCATGGGGACCATGCAGAGAACACTCAGCTGGGGCCCTAACCCAGTGCCTGGTGCAGGTGGGCCTGACTGTGGCCACAGATCACAAGGTGACCAGTGAGCCCCCCATTCCATCCCTGGGCCTGACGGTTTTGTCCAGCTCTGTATTTGGTCCCCGCCCCCACTCAGCCCCATAGTCCTCTTGCGCACTGCAATCTGGTCCCATGCAGTAGGCAGAGGCCACTCCGATCATGACGCTGCCCAAAATTCCCAGCAACAGCATGCTGACAACTGAGAGCTCTCCAAGTCCATCGCTTCCACAGGCACCCATGTCACCATAACCTCTCACTGGGAGGGCAGCAACAGCATCCTCATGACCTCCCTGCTTCCCACTCAGGTCGCACTCCCATACTTAGACCTGCCAATCTAGAAGAGACTTCACCTGCCAAGGCCCCCTTTCTAGCTCATCTCCAGCTGCCCCTGTGCTCCAGCTGCATGGACCTCCTTTCGCTCCTCAAATATGGCAGGACCATGGTTGCTGGTCCCTCTGCCTGGGCCAGCTCTTCATTCTTCCTCTGGGATGTCTCCAGAGCTCAAATACCACCTCCTCAGAGAGGCCTTCTCTAGGCACCCCATCCAAAGTGGCTTCCATATCAAAATGGTATTCCAAGTGTGACCCTTGGACTAGTAGCATCAGCATCACCCTTGCGCATGTTAGAAATGCAAATTCTCAGGCTCTTACCCCCACCTACTAATCTCTGGGAATGGGGATTGAAACAGAAACAAGGAAACAAGCCCTCCAAGTGATTCTTGGGCACTTTAAAAGTTTGAGAACCACTGCTCTATCACCATGCTGCCTTCTAACATCTCCTGAGCACTTGGCACAACTGGAGAATATTCCAGTTGCCATTTACTTATGCTGCCCTTCACCCAACAAACATTAGCTCCAGGAAGCAGGCCCTCAGCTGTCCTGGTCACTGCTCTATCTCCAGCTCCTAGAAAAATGCCCATACACAGTGCCTACATGACAAACAGCTGGTGGATAAGACAGGGGAAGGTGGGTAGGGCCATGCAGGGCCTGGGATCCTGGAGGGCCAAGCAGAGCCATGCAGTGATGGGCCTGGTGGCTGAGCCATGCAGAGAGGGGCCTTTAGGTGAGTGAGGCCCTGT